AAGAATTTATTTACTTGAGAGAGAGAGCGTGCACACAAGCAAGGGGAGTGGCAGGCAGAGAGAGAGGTAGAAGCAGACTCCCCACTGAGCAGGGAGCCCCATGTGGGACTCGATCCCAGGACCCTGGGATCGTGACCTGAGCCGAAGGCAGACGCTTCACCAACTGAGCCACCCAGGCACCCTGTTTCAATATTTATAAATGTGACAATGCATTCCAATAACTGGGAAATGAAAATGTGACAATGTATCAACAAGTTTACTGCATAGTGATATAATACAAATTTTCTATGCAACACATTGACTTTGTATTACAGAATTTAACCTGTTTTATAAACTATCTTGTGGTGTTATTCTTTGCTTATCTGTTCTAAGAGAAGATGTGTTGCACCAACAGACCCCCTTTTCCCATAGATTTTTACTATGTACTTAAACAGAGTTTCTTTCCCTGAGACAAGGTGAAAAAACTCAAGTTCCCACCCAGGAAAGAAAATGCTAACCCAAATTTCAGTTTCAGCATATTTTAACACCAGAGATAGAGTCTGTGCAACTCTTAATCATTTACCTGAATCGTACTATACAAGGTTACAGTGTTGACCAAAAGAAGACACAGGTTTCTCATTAAACTTTTGTTTCAATGGGTCTCAAAATTCTGTGACAGATTTTTGGTCAAGTTGTTTCCATTAAAAAGTACTGGTTTTAAAAAGTAAAAAGGGGTGCCTGGGTGGCTCAGTTGGTTGAGCATCTGACTCTTGATTTTAGCTCAGGTTGTGATCTCAGGGTTGTGAGCTCGCATCGGGCTCCATGCCGAGCGTGGATCCGGCTTGAGATTCTCTCTCTCCCTGTCCCTCTCCTGCCCACCCCGCCTGCCTCTCTCTCTCAAAAAACACAAAAAACTAAAAAAACAAAAAAACAACTACTAACTTAAAACTGCCACAGACACACAAAAACAAATGGTCCACAAAACATTCTCCTTTTCTTCTGAAGGTTTTACGATGTGTTGTTATAATTAACCAGTCTTTTCCTACTAAACTTAAATGGCCAGTGACATAAACAGTTCTGAGACCATTCTTCCACCACTGATGAAGACTGGGGTGGCAGGTACTGGGGTTAATATTCATTTAGCCTATGAGTTCTCTCGGCAGACATGGGTGACCTTGCCAGCTCCAGCTGCCTTCTTGCCCACTGTTCGACGACACCCACACCAAGCGTCTGTCTCTTGTCACAAACAGCGGAATGGCCCAGAGGAGGATAGTCAGAGAAGCCTTTAACATACAAAGGCTTGCCAGGAACCATATCAACAATGGCAGCACCACCAGATTTCAAGAACCTGGGACCATCTTCCAGCTTTTTTCCAGAACGATGATCAATCTCCTCCTTTAGGCTCAGCAAACTTGCAAGCAACCTGAGCTGCGTGACCATCCAGCACAGGTCATATCCAGCATTGATTTGGCCTGGATGGTTCAGGATAATCCCCTGAGCCATGAAGCCAGCTGCTTCCATGGGGGGGCGGGGGTCGTTTTTGCTCTCACCAGCCACATTGCCACGATGAACATCTTTGACAGATACGTTTTTGACTTTGAAGCCCACATTGTCCCCAGGAAGAGCCTCGCTCAAAGCTTCATGGTGCATTTCAACAGACTTTGCTTCAGTTGTAACATTGACTGAAGCAAAGGTGACCACCATGTTGGGTTTAAGAACACCAGTCTCCACTCGACCCACAGGGATTATACCAATACTACCAATTTTGTAGACGTCCTGCAGGGGCAGACACAAGGCCTTGTCAGTTGGATGAGTTGGTGGCAGAAATAAAATATTTTTTTGGAAAACCCTCCTTAGGCGCCTGGGTGGCTCAGTCGGTTAAGTGGCTGCCTTCAGTTCAGGTCATGATCCCACAGTCCCGGGATCGAGCCCCGCATCGGGCTCCCTGCTCAGCAGGGAATCTTCTTCTCCCTCCCCCTCTGCTGCTCCCCCTGCTGGTGCTCTCTCTTCTCTCTGTCTAATAAATAAATAAAATCTTAAAAAAAATAAATTAAAAAAAACCCTCCTTATTTTAATGAGTGACAACAAAGGAATCACTAAAATCCAACTTCTGTATCTGATGAAAATTTTGGAAAAATAAACTTAGAAGTTTTATTTCTTTTTTTATTTTTATTTATTTTTTTAAAGATTTTAATTATTCATTTGCAAGAGAGACAGAGAGAGAGAACAAGCAGGGGGAGAGGCAGAGGGAGAGGGAGAAGCAGACTCCCTGCTGAGCAAGGAGCCCGATGCAGGACTCGATCCCAGGACCCTGGGATCATGACCTGAGCCGAAGGCAGATGCCTAACCATCTAAGCCACCCAGGTGCCCTTATTTCTTTTTTTAAAGGATTATTTATTTATTTATTTGACAGAGAGAGGGAACACAAGCAGGGGGAATGGGAGAGAGAGAAGCAGACTTCCCCCTGAGCAGGGAGCCTGATGTGGCGCTCAATCCCAGGACCCCGGGATCATGACCTGAGCCGAAGGCAGACACCCAACCAACCGAGCCACCCAGGCGCCACTTTGTGGGTATTTTAAAGCAGAAATTCACAGTATACACCAGCCCAAACCATTTCCTTTCCAAGATGAACAAAGTTGCTTCTTGCCTCTGATTGTTTAATTTGGCAGAAGACGTGTGGGTGATGCTTAGTCTGATTCTTAAAGCAAGAATAGGGAATACACAGTGGAAAGGTGGGGTAGAGTTCAATCCTGGGATCTGGTGAGAGAGCGTGGTACAATCTCCGCACCAGAAATAATGCAGCTGGGGAGGCTGGGGGGGGGGGAAACGGGAGCAGTGGGGGCTGGGCGAGAGGCACTGGGAAGGGTGGTCTCATGAAGGTGGTGCCAGGAAATTAGGCTTGACCTTTAGGAAACAGCTATTGAAGGATTTTAAGTAATGATAGGAGAGGGTCCTGGAAGTCAAACACAGAGGTACCCCTTTCTCCTTGGGTGGCACCCCTTCTCTTTGGGGATCACATCCCTTCTCTTTGGGGACCTCACCCCTTTCCTTGGGAGCCACCCCCTTCACTCTCATTATTGGT